GTTTTCCTTAAATTTACTATTTTGGTTTTACAACTTATATGGATCTTGAAACTGATCCAAATATGTAATCTCTCAGTGTTTTAATGGCCATACAAATACTCGGCTCCAGTTGACATTGTGTTGTTACACCCACCCACCCCACCAAAAAAATATATAACAAATATTGATTTCATATTTTGAAACATTAAATACTGGAGGTATAGTTTAGGTATATCCACCAAAATAAGGATTACCCATAATTTCTGGCAGGTATGCATTTGCTTTCTTATAATATACAAAATGATCATTCAGTTCAGAACCATTTGTGGTGAACAAATCTGTGTAACACATTTTTCTTTACTTGGTTTCTAGACACTAAGTTCTAACGTGCATTTAATTAATAGTGTGAGATGACGTTTATGAGAAACTGATTGTGATAAAACTTCTTTATTATGTTATTTATCTATTGAAGGATAAGAAAAATCCTCAGGTTAAGGATATGGGAAGCCCATGAAACTGATTGCTTCACATCTATGGTGTGTTCCAACACTTCTGTTTTTTTTTTTTAAATGATACCTAGATAATGTGCTGATCTTTTAACATGTACTTTGTCTTTTTTGAGCAAACAACATTACCATATGCTTCAGTATTGGCTGCCTAAACTCCCATACCTTTTTTCATGGCTGATTTGCTGCAACTGTCTTTTGTGTAACTTGAACATAGGCATTCCAATAAACAGTAATTTAGAATGTCAAACTGAGTGTGTCTGCCTATCTGATTCCATGCTTGTTGCAGTTACAATAATTTAGCTATAGAATAGATATAGCTGCCATACTATATCCAGTGTGTTTATGAGAAAAAGGGATTCAATATCAGAAACTGTTCGTCTCCATCATTGATACTGCTTGCCAAACAGGTACATGCCATGTGTTCTGATGCATACATTTTTTTCCAGGGTTTTGCTGTTGCCAGGGGTCACTCATCTATCTATCATATACTTAGATTGGGAGATGAAGGGGTTATTTAGAACCTATTTTGCTTCTCTTTGTCAGTTTACTCTCACCCAAAAGAGTAGGACTTAGCCCTCCCTTTCTTGGTGTTTACCTACCAGTGTAGTACAATAATTTCAGATTCTCCTAGAACTTTACAAGACAAGGGAATATAGACAGCTTCCTTGCATCAAAAGAGCACTCTGGTCCATCTAGCCTAGTATTAAAAGCAACTTTCAAGAATAAGCTTTTCCAGCTACTGTATGTACTTGCCAAGGACTATATGCATATCATGCGTTCTGTCAGTAAGCTATAGTCTCTCTTCAAGATATCCAGAACTTTTTAAACTTCTTAATGGCCGTACCACCTCCTTATGAACATGAAAATCAAGCCAATTGATCCCCCAGTGCCTGTCAAAGAATACCAACTGTGAAAATAGTTCAGAAATGATGTTGCCATTGCATAAATAATTTTTCCCTTCTTTGTTTCTAGCTGTGCCTCCAGAAGTAGGAGCTTGGTCCTGTTTGTATTGGTAAGACCTTCAGTCACAGTCCATTTCACATATGAACTAGAGCTTGGCTCTGTCAAATCAAGGATTATCTTTGGTTGCTGCAACAGACACAATTGTTTACACTAAGGATGCCAAAATGCATTCCCCTTCCTGGCAAGCAGAGAATCCCGAGCTACTTGTTATAGATTCTGGCAGTTCATATTTGCACAATGTCTTGTGTTTCAAATGCAAACAGAATGTCATCCCTTTTGTCAGATACAGATACATTATGGCTCTATGTCATTATGGCAAGTACATCTCCAAGACCCAAGAAGATCCAAGAAGCTGAAGGAGCTTTGCCAGTGCAGTGCTTCAGAGATTCTGATCACAATGCGACTGTCCTGGAAATAGTATTTACTCTTTTAAGTTACTCTGAAGATATACTATGTGAGGATTATTAAAACTGTTAACAATTCTTCATACCGCCTGGGTTCATAAAACATGCTAGATTAGGCTGATGTGTGGGTTGAGGAGTTTGTGGTCCAATGAGTGGTGAGAATCCAGCCATTGTTGTGTGTACCAGGTTTTCCTTAAATTTACTATTTTGGTTTTACAACTTATCACGTATGTTTCCTTTACCCATATAGTACGTGGAGGCAGCAGTTTTTTAGATATCAATGACAATGATGGATTGCCATTACTAAGTGATGTGGTCACATGATGTCACACTTTATGACTGCATCCCTTAGCAATGGAAACTCCAGTCCCAATTACCCTCATTAACAGAAGATTTTCTGTACTTTGTCCTCTTGCTCTTTTTCTTTACTTGTCTAAATTATTTATTTTCCCTTTTATGATTTTCTTTAACTCATATTTTCTGTTACATTTGCATTGGAATTAACCATCATTAACTATAATCCAGGTTGCCTTTTTAAATTTAATCTTTAAAGCCTTGTAAAAAGAATTACAGTGGTCAACTATGGCTAAGAGTGATTAGTAGCAATATAGATAGAACAGTAAACTAGGGTTAAAACAAACTACCGAGAGAGAAGGGGAATTTTGTAAATTATGCAAGTCCACGATTCTCTAAGCACATGGCATAGCTCAATGATGTTGGATTTACATAGTGTATTTACTGATCTTTGTTTATGTCACAAACCAATATAACAATTTACAAAATGGTATAGCCCTTTTCAGAATCGAAGTTTTGTATACGTAGGTTCAGATGTTTGAGAGCTTTGAGAGAAAATCAAAATGTTGCTGTTACAGCACTCTGGCTGCCAAAAACTGAATGTGAGACACATTATTGTTACTGACCATGAACAAACATGATTCTGTTGAACAGTGTTTTCAGTGGTTTACTGCTGAATGACAATAATTGCTAAGACCATACAGTGTCTGATACATTTCCATTTGACTGCTAATGGTGAATGAAAGCCATATGGTAACCAATAGGGTGGAAAAAGGTAGATATTGCTGGCAAACAGGTGCACTTCAACTGATATTTTGGAAGGATTTATTACTATTTAAAATTCCCCAAACAGCCTCTAGAGGACTATTGAAAAGTGACTTAATTTTCAATCTCCTTTTAAAATTCTTCTACATTTACAAGATGATAAATTATACTTACCAACTCCAGACTTTTCAGGAACATTGGCTATATAAATATCCTTGGTAAATTTGGGTTCATTGTCATTGATATCATGGATTTTAATGATAAATTCCGATTCTGGTTCCACCTGTCTTCCAGTATTTCGATCTATAGCCTTGGCACGTAGCACATACAGGGACTTTTCTTCTCTGTCCAGCCTTTTTGCTGCATGAATATCTCCTGTGTTTTCATCTATAATGAATAGACTGCCAGCTCCATCTCCTGTTAATATGTATTTTAAATTTCCATCTCCTTTGTCTTGGTCAGTGTGTAGCTTTAAAAAAATAAAAAGAAAGAGAGAGAGAGAGAGAGAGAGTTTTATAAATAGATGCATTGTTATTAAAGACAATCTACTTCAGCAGATATGAACAGGGCTCCACAAATCTTGTCTATAATTGAGGTCAGCACTGGTTATCATCTGTTTCATTGTTGGAGGGGGAAAAAATGACAAAACTTAAGATTTTGGTCACACAGGCAAAATACTTAAGCAAATGGATAAAGGACAAAGAACGTATAGAAAGTAAGATGATTGTAGTTAAAGCTAACAGTATGATGGTAAATGTAAAATAGTTTCTTTCCCCAACTTGCAGCCACTGAGTTTTTTAAATTGAAAAGCATCATATTGATAGCAATTAAGAATCTTTGCACTGTTTAAGTATACTGTCAATAGCTATATTGTTTTACAGAATCATTATCTGTGTGAAGATGCTTCTTTTTATATAAGGTGAAGGTGTTTCTTTTGAAATAAGTAACAGAATAAAATAGGACAATTAAAAAACTTGCTTCTTTAAATCAAACATAGAAAATTTAGGCCAGAATCCTGCTAAACACTTTGAAATATATATGTTATAAACACTGCAAGTTGCCTTTTGAAAACCTCAGATGTAAAGGCCTCTTAGGTATGCAGAACTAATGATGTGTACATCTATGGGATATGAATAATAGTAATAAGGGGATGAGATTTATAATAAGATGAAATGTGTATTTATCCATTTATGTATGCATGTATAAATGGCTTTATCTAATATTATCTCTCTGCCCCTGGCCTTGAGAATATTATTTATCAATGATGAACTAAACTATTGTTGCTCTAAAGTCTATATAGTAGCTTTTGTTTAATTCTGAATTCCTGTATGCCTTTAAGACGGCTTACAACATGGGTTAAGTGAAGTCCACTGGGCTGGTCAAAACAGGCAAGATGGTGGAAGCAGTGTCACAATCCAAACCCCGCCCCTTTTGTATGCGACAATGTGTGCACAAAAAGGTCATTGTTTGGATTCTGAGGTCATTTTGCTATCTTGCCTGTTCTGACCTTCCACCTCCCTCTCTCCCTCCATGTTCATTGCTGATAGAGATCTCTCACCTTTTTAGGTTCGTGGGCACCTTTGGAAAATTGAGAATATACTGAGAATATTCATACAAAATGGTGGCTGGAAGGGCCTTGCTGTTCATGAATTTTACAAAATACTATCTCAAGGCCACTAAGAGCTAAGAACAACAGTGGTACCTCGGGTTACGAACGCTTCTGTTCACAACCAATTCAGGTCATGAACAGCACCGTTCGCAAAATTTTGCTTCCATCCGCGAACTCCGCATCAGGTGATGAACAGGATCCATGGCCATTTTCCCAGCCATGGCACATGGTCATGGCTTCCTGTAGGGAGGGGGACTCTCCCTCCAAGTAATAACCGCCTCCCCACTCGCCTTCCTGTCCTCCACACCAGAAGTCACCTCGAGCAAGGTGAGCGTTCTCTCTCTTTGTACTGCACTGTACTGTATTTTGTTTCATATTTTTGTGGTTTTTT